TTGTGTGGTATTCTATCACTTTCAGTTGGAACATGGTAATGGGATGCCGGTGCTCCTTATGTTTTGGATTTAGGGTTAGAGGCTTGTCATGTTCCAACTTTCTGGCCCCAACTTTCTGGCCCCTGTCTTCCGCAGGCATGTGTTTGATGTATGTCGGGAGGTTGGGACTCTGACCAAAGTCCAGTCCAGTTGCGCCTATGGTGGAAGCATCTTCTGAGGGCTGAGCTTCAGGAGCCAAGAAACCCCAGAGCCGAACACTCGCCCTCACGGCCGGGCTCCATGAAACCCAAGATGGCACTGCCGTCCCCAAACATCGAAGTTTGAGTTCCAAAGGACCGCCCCGCAGCAACAAGCTCCGTCCGAAATCGACGACCATTCCAGAAGCAGAACTGCGCGACAGAGCTACTACCCTTAACCGTCACTGAACTGTCCTAGTCGCGCCTTGGCATCTGCAGGGTTGTTCGCCGCGAAGAGAGCCATCCTTGGACTCTGATGACAGCCGCAAACCTTCTTCATGGGGCCCTGTTCCAATTGGGTTCCTGACGCCGTGGACATCAAGCTCTTAAGGAAAGCCCTGCGTGCCAAGCAGCTGCAGATCAGCGTTGCCGGGGAAGGCTGTGAGCAGAGCCTTGGCAGGAGCGCAGGAACTTGGTTGCGAGGCCTGCATCACGCGAATACACAGACGGATGCTTGAGGTGAGAAGTTCTGGTGCCACGGTTTTCCATCTGTCTAAGCGAACAGCATACGTCAGCAGTAGCGCATTATCTAACTTATGGCCTCCTTATCCTGGGAATGCGTGGTCATAAACTGTGGAAGTGCCCAAGTAAACCCTGCGTCTCAGGGACAAAGGTGAAACCGGCCCTTCTCTATTCTTGGCTGACTGCTGAACCCCTCCTAAAAGTTACACTGTTAATCTCAATAATACAAAGACTACCTGAAAACCAAGTAGCCCAAAACAAGAGGCTACTATCCCCTCAAGTAGCCCACAGATCATTGAAAGAGCCCAGAATTAGAGGTCACTGGCTTTCCAGGTATAGAAACTCCAACAGGTGCAAAGTCCTAAGAGGCCAACAAGAAGACAGCCAAGGATTGGCTCGGTTGACCCATCCCAGCCTTGTCCTTTTCGACCTTTTTGGCAAAAAAACAGATCCCAAATAATTCGGATCCCAAGAACAACTCCCCTTCAAGGGCCCTAAACGGGTCTGTCTGTTCTTCTTCCGAGGGCCCCAAAAAGAAAAAGGACGACCATGATCCCGACCTTGCCTTGAACTTGCCGGGGTCGGCGGAGCCGATCATGCGGGCCAGGGCCTGCGGGCGGGGTTTAGGGTTTAGGGTTTAGGGTTTAGGGTTTAGGGTTTAGGGTTTAGGGTTCAGGGCCGCCGTCATGGGTTTTCTCTTGGGTGATGTAGGAACCTGATTTAAAACAACCCGTGGTTTACATAGATAGCCTTCTTACTAGGGATCCTACTTTATTGGGGGACTCAGAGCCCAGGGTTTCTGAATCAGGTTCCTACATGAGCCCAAACAGCCCCACGCGAGAGGACTCCAAGTTGGGCCAACCTTCGAGTCTGCTGGGGTTTTGGCACTTGCCAGCCTGGAACTACATGGGGGTCTCCAAAGATAGGAGGCCCCAAAATAGACCCCAATATACTATAACCCTTATTATGAGGACTCCTAAACGGGGCCCGAAATTTTTGGAAACAACCACATCTTTCAAGTTCGGCCGAAAGCCAGAGAGCCTTTCTGCTGTCACCCGGAAGCACCCCGAAGTCCCAGCTTCAAAAATGCGACAGCATGTCGTCAGGGAGCCCAATACAATACCCATCAATCAAGGAATGTACCTAGCTTAATCATAGTAGTCATACCTATATCATCTAACGTATATGTCCTGCTTAAGGGGTATTGGGCTCCCTGGCATGTTCCTAGGCTGCAAACAGCCTCGGGCCTCGTTGACGGCCGCCCAGTCCGCCTTGGAGGCCACCAGGCCCGGGTTGTTCACCGCACCCTTCAGCGCCTGGAGCACCACGTTGCTTTCGCTGGGCTGCTGCTAAGGAGCTTAAAGTAAGTTACCAGAATTCAGAAATCCTATAGTCTTTACTACATGTATCCCTATGATGGTAACTTGAACTGAATTCCTTAACAGCAGCCGAGCATTTGAGGGCTTGTAGAGATGTTTCGGGTGTCAAACAACTGGAGCATCGTGGATCATGGGAGTGACGTCAGTTTCGACACGGTGATGCTTCCACAAACGTGCTAGGCTGGGGTCAAGCGAAAAAGGCCGGTAAGCTTTTGCAACTCCTTACATAGAATGAGCAGCGGTCCTACAGCAGAAAGAGGTTTGGGTCGCCGATTAAGATACTAGAAGGGACGCAATAGTTAACAGTGCCATTCCCCCATCTTCCTGGTATCATGAGAGATAGGATGTAGGACGAACACACCTCAAGCAAATGCTGGTAGCTATTGAGGTCTCAAAATGTAGGGGACATGGATCCTACATGAGGAACTTACTGGGCAGCGTCCTTTGATCGCTTTAAGGAGTCCTATGCCCATCCCTTAGTACAGGTCTACTGTTCCTAATATTCAGGGTAGCTCCCGGACACCCTGGAGCCCGCCTTGTCGTGCGCAGCCACGGCTGCCTGGATGAGCTTCGGGTCCATGGTGAGGCCGGATTCCTGCGCGACTCGTCTGTCTGGTGCTTAGTAGGGAATGGGGGGAATGGATCCCTATGATAGTCCCTTAAGGTCCCTTATAGTAGTCCCTATAACCCATTCCCCCATTCCCTACTAAGCACCAGACAGTCGTTGCACCCCGGCCAAGCCCCTGCTTGGCGGCTTGTGGGATTTACCTATAGCATAGTCTCCATTGTAGTTCCTTTTTTGGGTTCAACCAATTATATATATATATATATATATTAAGGATTTTATAAGGTATCCCCAAAGAGGAACTACATGGAGACTATAGGTAGTATCTACTTACCGCTGACTACAGGCCATTTAGGGAGACAGCAGCTATAAGTAGTCACTAAGTCTCATGAGCATCAAGTAGGCTCTCCTTCTATAGCCTTCTTCTGGGGTTGCTCCACATGGATGAGTTTTTGGGCGTCTTGACAGTAGCATGGACTTACCACTTGGGGGCCGCTTGATCCGCCCGCTCACTTGTAAGGCACATGGTCGGCTTGAGACGCTCAGAAGCTGCAAACCATGTGGCCGTGTCGAACCCTTAGGCACCACAACGTGGCCTGCAAAGAAGAAATCCCAACATGCTGGAGCAGTGATTTGCAGGATGCCTTTCCAAAAAGAGATTCCAAACCATGCCAGAGAAAAGACGAAAGTTTGCCACCTCATTGAATAGACATGCCCTCACAGCCCACAACCACCCGTCCAGCACTTTCTCGAACGCCTGGGCCGTGGCCTTCGGGCTCTTGGCAGACACCTGGACCGCGGGACGTGACTCTGACAGCAAATATCAGAAAACTATTCGCAACACTTCCGAAGGAGAGCAACAGTATCAAAGGCCGGCAGCCCAAAAGCTGAATCCTTACCTCCTCCTCGCCATCGCCAAACCCTAAAGTTTCCCGCTGGCCTCAGAGAGGTACTTGGCAATCTGCTGCGAGTTGCCCCAGTCGATCTTCGACATCAATGGGTAGGTGGCCTCGCTGAACTTGGCCGCCGCATCGCCGATGGGGCCTCCGGTCACCGGCTCCACCTTCAACGCGTTGGCGCCGTTGGTGCTGGCCGCCTTCACCGCGGAGGTGAGGTCCTTGAAGGCCTGCAGATGGACCGTGCCATCTAATAACTCACTCGAACTCCGATGCCAAGCAAAACTCCGCGGCCCGCCTGGTAGGCTGCCTGCGCCTTGGCCTTGTCGTTCTGGTTGTAGAGGTCCATCTGCAGCCTCAAGCTTCTTGCGAGCAGACGTTGCCGCTTAGCTAACCCTTCTAGCTGTGGAGAACCTAGCTTCTGTTTCCGAAGCCTGCACTAACACAAGGTGAGTAGCTGCTTGTTGTCCGGGAAGGCGTCCAAAAGCTTGTAGAACTTGTCCTGCCGCATGCACCGCCACTTTCAACAAGTCAAAGGCCGACGTGTGCTGACGAATCAACGCCTCAGGAATGCAGCGCGCCTTGTTGGCGGATGCGATCATGCGCGCCAGGGCCTCGTTGACTGCCGCAAAGTCGGCCTTCGAGGTCATCAGGTTGGGGTTGCTGGCCGCGCTCTTCAGGGCCTTGTCGTGGGCCGCCACCGCTGCCTTGATGAGGCTGGGATCCATAGTCAGGCCCGATTCGAGGAGTGTCAACGGCCTGAGCCACAGCCTTGGGGTTCCTGGCAGACTCCGTGGCGAAGTAGCTGGAGATGATCGGCGTGTTGCCCCAGTTGATCTTCTCCGCGATGGGGTAGGTGGCGTCGCTGAACTTGGCAGCCGCGTCGCCGATGGCGTCAGCAAAGGCTGCCGGGGCCCCAGCCAGCAGAGCAGGCGCGGCGACGGCCGCTGCCGCCGGCAGGCGGTTGTTGCTCTGCGGCGCAGGGACGAAGACCGAGCTCTGAGACACGAAAGCCACCAGGCCCAGGCACAGCAGCACTGGAACTGCCACACGTCCGGAGCGAGCCATGACTGCTATTCCAGGAATTGCGATCACAGGATTGCAGCTTACAAAATTTGGAGCCTGAAGGGTTGCATCGGCAGCAGAGTTTGAAGTCCAAGCACCCAGCTTGCGATACGAAGCGAACGCTGAGACTCTCAGATCTGCCAACTTAGATTACTCACATTTACTCACCATGCTGTGCATCGCCGACCCCAGATTTTGTGTAGCCAAGGTGGAAGACAGCAGACTTCACATGGTAGCTTCGGCCCCCTGAAGCGCCTTCTCCTTGAGATTCTTGAAGAGGTTCGTGTTGAACTGCCTTCCGTGAATCTTCTTGAAAGGAAGAGGAGGGATGCTGCCGCTGTTGACCGGATGCGGGAATGGCTCGCTGCGGTGCTAGAGAAACCCTCTGCGTTCGTAAAATGAACCAGCCTCCGCCCATGCATAGGCTAGACGAAGCAACCAAGACTTACCAGTAGGGTTTGGTAAAGGCACCAAATGTGAGTCAAAGTTACAAAGGAAGATATGTGCGGGCCCTTGTCCAGAAGAGCCAGTGACAAGTCTGGGAACATGAACCCGAGGTACCATGCAAGAAGCGTCCAAGTGTGCTACGTAGCTCAACAATTCTGAGACAACGGCTGTGGGGCTATGATTTTTCAACAGATTTGTTGCCAAATGGTCACCTCTGAAGCAGGTACGAGAACTCATCCGGCAAGATCTACGGCTCAACTAAAACTCCGCAACTCCCAGACCTCTCGGCTCAAGGCCCAAAAAGGGCAGCTCCTGGCTCCATGTCGCTGCGGATCTGGGCCACTGCCTGCGGCTTTCGGGTTTAGGCTTTCTG